TATAGATTTTGCCTGTATTTTATACCTAAGTACTTCATTTTTTTGAGTGCTCATGTAAGTGGCATTGTTTTTAGTTTCAAATTCCATTTATATACATACATATAAAATAAGCTCCCCCGTTTTAAAATTAGATTCAATAGACATAAAATTCAATTAAAAGAAATTGAAATTGGAAACACACTTGGATGTTGAGACAAAGTCAAATTGCTACAAAAGATTCTGAAATTTACTCTCAATTTCTCTATTTTGTTGTAGACTAGTAGTAGTTGGTGGACCAATACTGATCAATTAATATATATTTTCAGCTTGCCAAAATGCATTTTCATAGGCTCCAGGCAAGCTTAAAATCCTGAGGCACTGGGCCTGCAGTGTTCAGTGGGAAAAACAACACTGTTTTCTTAGTACATACTACCAGCTGTTCCATTTATTTAGTTCCTTGAAAACAGTGACAATCACTTATTCATCTATCACAGTACCTGCCACGGAGCCTGACATAGAGCAGATTTAAAAACGCCCACTGAATGGTGCATTTGAACAGAAAAGATTTGTATGTAAAAGGATAAATTCCCAAATACTCACCCACGAGTGGTGCAGGATTCTGAGCATGTTTTCATCTTTGAAGGTTGCAGGGGAGAGGCTGGCACTGGTTGTGATGGTTTTTTTTTTTTTTTTTTTTTTTTTTTTTTTTTTTTTTAATTTTAATTTTGAATTAGTTTCCAACTAGAAAAATTACAAAAGTCGTACAGAGAGTGCCCATATGCCTTTCTCCCTCTTGCCCTAGTACTAACATCTTATAACCATAGTACGATTATTACCAAACCAGAAAATTAACATTAATACACCTCAATTAACTACAGTTCCTCATTCGAATTACGGCACTTTCCCACTCCTGTCTTTTTTCTGGTCCAGCATCTAATGGGAATCCCACACTGCGTTCAGCCATCATGTCTCTTTAGTCTCCTCCAGTCTAGCTCAGTTGCTCAGTCTTTTACGGTCTTGACTCTTTGCCAATTGTTTCTTGAGCACAGTAAATGCTTGGATTATGTGGTTTTTCTTATCTGAAGAGTAATTGGTTAAATGGTTTACCATGAAGGGGATTAACCTCTTCTGGAAGTTGAATCCATTTTCAGAATCTGGGAGGTTCAGAAAATTGACTTTGGGGAACAGATATTTTGGCCTCACGTTTTCAAAAGCACAGCAACAGTTCATTCACAATTGCTGATCTTTTCCAATGTGGCCCGTGCGGGCCCATCGATGTGACTTCGATGAGACATTCCATCTCCTGGGAACTGTGTTTTGGGAAAACATAATTATCAGAATCTCTCTTATTGCTCATGTGGTACTCACTGTGCTTTTCAGAGGCTCTGGCCTGGTCCTCAGCGCCCAGGCTCCCATCAGTTCTCAGCACAGCTGTCTGCACGCCTCCTCTCAAAGGCTCTTACGTTCTTTTCTTGTGAGCATGGATTTTGAGACTGGCCACATTTCAAGCTCCAAACACAAAGCACCAGTTCCACCGAAGGGCCTGTTAAAATCTTTGAGGCTGGATTTCTGCATCGCAGCACACCACATTATGAATTTAATCATAGCTCCCTGCTTCTTTAGATAATTTGGGAAGGAAGAAGGGGCAACTGATGGGCATTGAATACCTAATATTTGCTCTTTAAGAAAACTTGCTCGTTTACAGCCATCTTCAATGACTTCAAATAGGAAGACCTTGCTGACAGGACAGATGCTGCCTGTCCCTTTCCAGGCCCCAAATTATATCTTCATAGATATTTTTCTTAGTCACTCTCCGGGCTCACACCCATATTTCCTTTTAGCTTACATCTTTCCAGAAGACAGAGGTTTCCCTAAAGCCTGAGCCAGAGAAATGAACAACTGCAGGGGTCTGACCAGAGAGACTTCCCTGTACAAAGTCTGTAAGGCGAGGGGCAGGAGGACACTGGAAGCATGATTCATGTTTCCATCGGCAAGAGCCTAACATTTTAATGCATTCATTGATAACCACAGTCAAATTAAATCCCACGCGAAGAATTTGCATGTTCCTAACTTGTGGAATTCAGTCTCTTGTCATCTGAAGGCAAGTTGAGCTACGTCCTGGTGACATCCCGTCTGAAATGAAATGCTAGACTCTTGGTTCTTGATCCAGCTCTGCTCCTGACCGATGAACTATGTGACTTTGAGCAAATCTTCCACCACCCTGGGTCAGCTTGCTTGTCCATAAAATAGAAGTATGAAAAAAAAAAATAAAATAGAAATATCATCCAGCAGGGATGCGCCCTTACATCCAAGTAGAGCTGGCAACTAGCTGGGTTAGTTCTAGAAGGCTACGTGGAATGGAGGATTTCAACCACATCATGCGGAAGATAATCATGCTCAACTCAGCATTACAAATAGTACTAACTCTGGGTAGTAAAATTAATCAAAATAGTCCCAAGAGGCCCCACTTCCTATTTCTGCACCTTAGGTGAATTCCAAAATTGGCTGTAGGTGGAGAGTAAAATTTAGGTTTGCACCCATTGGCCATATTTCTTCAGGGCCTCCCCCTTCCCTAGGACCAACAAGCTGGATCTGCTGGTTCTAGGCAGGACGGTGTGTGCCTGGGAGAGGCGCCTGCCCAACCCAGCCCACTCAGTGCCAGGCCCCATCTTGACCTCACCCTGTGCCCTGTGTGCCAGTGCCTCCTGTCCTTTGGTGACCCTGCTCATGGCATGCTAAGCCTGTCTTTAGTACTGGCTTGTCCTGGGTGTGAGCAGGTGGGAAGTGACCAGGGAAGCTACCTAACCTTAGGCCTGACCCATCCACGCCCACCTGCCTGCTCCCTGCTCCACACTGTCTCTTCCAGTGCAGATCAGCCTGCCCTCCACCATGCACATGACGGCCTCCGACGGCACCGTGTACATAGCCCAGCAGATGCACTTTCACTGGGGTGGCGCATCCTCAGAGATCAGTGGCTCTGAGCACACCGTGGACGGGATCAGACAAGCAGTCGAGGTATGTGAGGACCCCCCCTAGTTACTTTTCTCATTAAAACAGCCAGAAATACTTTATGCAATGGCGCCAGTTAAGTCACCCTCAGGTTGAGTTTATTTTTTACTTATTGGACAACGATTGATCACAGCTTTGTGCTGGGAGTACAGGCAGGGTCCCTGCCCTCAGAACTCACAGCGTGGCAGGAGTTTACAGCCCACAGAGTGTGGCAAGCCCCCCTTTGTTCCAGCTGGATTTCTACGTGTCAGATTTTCTGGGTTCCCTCTTTTGCCTGCATCTGTCCTTAGGATGACTGCAGGTTTTCAGCGGCTTTCTGGGGGAAGGGAGCTTATGCTCACTCTCCCACCAAATACCCAGAGACCTCAGAGAACCCAGAATCCTCACATCATCCCTCCAGACCCTACCAGCTTGTCTGCCTAAAAGGAGGTGGGATCAGGGAAAAGGCCTCAAACTGCCATGTTCCCAGAATCCCACTCATGCTGCTTCCATTTTTGGGGATATTCCTGGTCCTGATAGATGAGACTCATAGCCTAGGTGAAGGGAGACAGAGGTCAGAGTTGTTTGCGTGGGATGGTCTGAGGCCTCAGATGGAGCATCTTTCTTTCTTTTATTCCTTCCCTGAAAACCTTAAGCATTTGAAGTCTGTATGAACTGCCCTTGACTTGCACTATCTTGCTCCCACAGATTCACGTTGTTCACTACAATTCTAAATATGAGAGCTACGATATAGCCCAATATGAACCAGATGGTTTGGCTGTACTGGCAGCCTTCATTGAGGTAGGTGGAAACTACGTAATGTGTCTGCATTTGAAGTTATAGCCTGATGTCCACAAAAGGTGTGAAGTCTAGATGAAAGGTCTCTCTTATTGTCCCTCTTCATCCTTTCCCAGACTCACAATACTTGGTAGTGCTGATTCAATGGAAGACCAACCCTTCTTCCAGCTCCTGCTCATAGTCACTGTGCTCCTGTGTTATCAACCTCAGGGGCCCTGGGTAACTTGGACAAGCTGACTTAAAAGAGCTGGAATCCCAGAAGGGGTGGCTTGTACACAAAGTGGTTGGAAGGGCAAAGGGAA